CCCCCCCCCCAAAAAAAAAATAAAATAGCGAATACGTATTTTGAGAACAATGATACATTATCAACGCTTAAAACATACTGACACCCTGACCCAAAAACATCTCTTGTAACCCTTAGTGACTATCACTAAGTAATATTATCATATTTTACCAGTTTACACAAGTTTAATAATAAATTTTTCAGTGGGCCAAGATCACTATTAATTAAATTGTTCTTAATTTTAAACATTTCTAATACCTTCCTTATATTAATTTCTTTGTAATTATTTACATTTTCAATGAATTTTATGGTCTTAATGGAGTGATTATGTGTCAATAAATTTTAAGCCACTATAGATTTCTCAACTTCATGATTTTTAATGTTTCTTGAGTGTTCTTTATACCTGACCCTTATATTTCTTTTTGTTTATTCTACGTAACATTTATTGTAACTTTCACATTCTATTTTATAAATGTCCTATATTTCCCTTCTTCTATTTATGTGTAGGGATACCAAATAAAACTCCTAAATTATTACTGTTACATGTTTCTAAATAATACCAAATTCCTTAAAAATTCTAGGCTGTCCATTGGAGATACCGGGATAATATAAATGGAGTGATCTAATTACTTTTTGTTTAGCCACGCTAGTCAGTGTATTAGCTGCCCTTCTATAAAGATAGAACATTTTTGTGTTCAGACTAATTTAGAAATTACGTTTTCGTTATACTCATTTAATCTAGCTATTTCTGTTATAACCCCCAGTTCTTTATCAAAATCTATTTTAATAATCGGAATTTGAACTAATCTGTAAATCATACTATTAAAAGCTGCTATTTTGTGTTTTGTGTAACTGAAATTGACCAATACATAACATTGTTAAATGAATAATCTCATTTAGAGTATCAAAAATGATTCAAGATGGTGTCTATAAAGAAATTAAAAAGAATCCATTAAGTAAAATGATAAGGGAGCCTACAAATATTTTAATAACGGTTTTTTATTTTTTTTTTCCCCTATAATTACTGTCCCCTCGGTTAGAGCTATTGAATTGCAATATCAATCTTATTATCTGTCAACGTTATACAGAAATAAAACTTTATATCTTTTTAAAACATATAATGCTTTATGTCTATTGTATTTATTTTAGTTAGTTATTACCTTTAGTGTAAGTACAAAATAAGGTCAACGGCAGCTATATGGGGTAATTAAAATTAAATTAACTGAATAATTTTCGAGGAGAATATACATTCGGTAAATGGTTCCTAAAATATAATTTAACATAAATTTATGTTGTCTTTAAAATTTAAATATAACAATTATAAGATTAAATAATAAATGGCTTAATGTTTATTTCCTATATACAGAATATTTTTTCAGTAGGAAGGCTAAATTTTCTATAAACAGTGGTATTTAAGTAAAAAACCTGCATTTTATATATTCAGAATGTTCTTTAAGTATAACACATGCATTTTATATATAAAATGTTCTTAAGTACAAAATCTGTATTTTACATGTACAGAATATTCATCAAGTTAAAAACGTTATTTTCAATATGGAGAGTTATATTTAATTATGGAAGCCATTATTAAAAAGAATGAGTGTTCTTTAAGAACAAAACTTTTATTATCTATGTACAGTATTATTTAAATACGTAGGCTATATTTTCTATACTCATAATTTTTTACATAAAAATTCTTATAATTTTTTTAAAATGTAGTGAAGAATAAGCAAATTCATTAATTTACGTCTATGATTTTGATGAAAATTTAAAATAAAATTTTGTTTCTCAGATTAAAAAAAAATATATTTAACAGTTATAGTACAAAATTTGTTGGTAAAATTTTAATTACCATTTTTATATTTTAAAATCAATAAAATTCACACATATAATTGGCGAGTATGAGCTACATAAAATTGAAAATTTTATTCTGATGATTGTTAATATCTATAAACGTAAAAAATTTAATTATCACTAGTATTTAAGATTATAACTTTAGTTTAACTATAAATGTAATTTGGCCTCTAAAGTTGCACCCTAGTTATCAATTAACATAAAACAATTTTCGACACACATTGTCAATTATTAGAAACTAAAAATAGTTTACAATTAAAAATATATACATAACCTACATTTTTACTCAGGTTTATGTAATAGCACATAATCTTGATTTGGTTTTTTTGGGTTTGTTGACAGACATTGTCGTAGGTTGACCCATAAGGCGTCGCTGCTGCAATAATCTATGCACAACTATTCTATAAGTTGCAACGATATTGCTCCTGGATCCTCGTGGACCATGTTCATCTAGCATAACTTTGCTTATACCGAGGGCTTCTAGAGCTCTTCTTGCATTTAACTCAATATCTGTTACATCCACACTACTTGTTGACGGAAAAGCACACCAATGACCATAAACTGCATTGTTATTAAATCGATTCTGGTAGGCTGATGCTTCCTTTAACCATTCTGATTTAAGCACTTGGTCAATTCTTAACCGATCACTAGACGACGTGTTCAACATAGAAACTGAAAATAAAAATCTGTTAATATAATAATATAAACTAATTAAATTATTTCTCATCAGTAAAATTGACATCTGTGATTTTTATTAAATAAAATACATTTTCATTTAAAAATTAAATCACTTATTAAAAAAACTATTAGTGCAAATTTAAATTGTAAAAAAATTTAATTAATTATTGATGCATACTAACTACTTATTAAAGTTTTAATTCCTAAAATAAAATAATCGTCAAATTCATCACGAGAAAAAAACGAAAACTCGATTTTGCATAGCTAATTTTTGGTCTGATTAATAGAATTATTTTTCGTTGAAATTTAAACACTAAATTTCTAGTTGGGACAAGTATAGATGATATCTGACAGTGATTAAAATCACTATCATAAGAAATCTTTCGATACAAATTTGTAGATAGTGTTTAATTTTAAGAAATTGGTGGATTATTCCAAAAGCAATATTAGCTCCTCTTTTTTCATTATTCCTAATTAGTAATTCTATGATTTATAAGTATAATATATGATTAATTATCTAATAAATCAATATAGTATGAAATTGGTATTTAATAATTTAACATTTTAATTTTTACAAATTATAAAGTATTTGTTACTTTTAATGATATGTGGATAATATGATAAAATTACATGTGGATCATAAGATATATAAGTTGTCAGTTAATTTTGTTCCATTCTGTTTATCAATATCTAAGAACTTGAAAAAACTATATCTATTTTTTCATCAATTTTCGGACATTGAACCATTAAATAATATTATTAATCTATTGATACCAGTACCACAAAAAAATAGACATCAGTTTTATGTTCTAAGCACCAATTTTAAAACAATAATAATAATAGAATTAATAGTTTTAATGATATATATCATAAGTAATTACTAACAAATTATAATAGACGACAGACATAAAGAAAATACGAGTTTAAATTTTAATTTATAAATCCAAAAATTATATTTTTTTTATATCATATGTAACGCATCACTCAGTGATTTTATATCAATATCCGTTTTGATAAATTAAAAACAAAACTTAAATACTTGCCTATTAAATTTTCTAATGGCTGAGTCATCCAGGTAGGAGTGATTATCTTTCCAGACAGAATGGACTGTCTGAGGCTGGCCATGCTCTCTCCAAGAAATGGCATGGTAGCCGTCGTCATAAAAAAAAGAAGTACTCCCAGTGACCATACATCTACTGGACGACCAACATAACGTTGATCTAGGAACAATTCTGGTGCCGCGTACGGCGGAGATCCACAAAACGTTTCCAGTTTTTCATCACCTTTCAATGATAAAAATATATTTTTATTATTTATAAAATAACAAATAAAATGAGTTGACATTTGAAACAATGTCATCGAATAAAAAGTTTATTTAAACAAAAATATGCGGTTGGCATATAAAAAATACATACATTACAAAATGATAAAAAAAAAAATTATCATAACAGTATTAATAAAATTCTTTTAAAAGATTCCTACGTTTAATAATATAATACTGTTTTTCAATACAATACCACGTAAACAATAACTACGTGTTAAAAAAATACAACTAATTAATGTTAAGTATTTGATATTTTTCAAACCATTTTAAGTTTGACGTATATGTAGGTAATATATCATATATATATATTACACTCAAACATGTCATTTAAAGTATATATTGGAAAATACTCGTTCTTAATTTAAGCGCCATTATGACGTATTTAAAGTAATGAAACGCAAAAACTGGTTTTTTTAAGTTGAATGTTATATAATGCAATATTGCACATTAAACACGTCAAAGGACACAAATGTAAACTGTGAATTAATAAGGATTTCCTGTAGTATCCAAACCTACATCCCGTCTATGTATGTTATTAAATATTATATTCCACATCTTTTTAACTAGTGAATATTTGACTTTTGAATTAACTTAATATAGTAGAATATGCTAGCCTTCAACACAATTATGTCTAATCTTGTTTTGTTAATTCATTTATTAGTAAAAATATACATACTTGAAACTTTTATACTGAAACCAAAGTCTCCTAGTTTGGCGACCCCTCTGGAACTTAAAAAAACATTTTCTGCTTTAATATCTCTGTGAACAATGCTTCGATCATGCTAGAAAATAAATATCAAAGATATTATTTTATGTTTACATTTAAAAATATTCCTTAATAATCAGTGGTCTCGAACTAAGTGAAAATTTTGTTTAGAAACAAATACGTTTCGATTTTTGATTGAGCTTATATATAAAAAATACTTTTAGGAGTAGTTTGTTGTTTCAGATATATTTTTTAGCGAATGGTTAAACAATATATTTTTTTTCTAGAACAAAACATACACATTTAGTACGTTATTTTTAAATATTTCTAGAACAAAAACTAAAACTTTTCTCTGTTTAAGACCCTTGTTAGTAATTAATAACAAAAAGTTACTAAGTGTTGGACAGCTAGCACAAGCTGTGCAAAAATGGTTTTAGCTTCAGATTCATGCATCTTCCCTTCAGTAATCAACTTCTTAAACAACTCGCCGGCAGCTGCATGTTCCATAACTAAGTAGTATTTGGTATATGTTTCGATTACTTCGAATAATCTATATGAAAAGAATAGTAAAATTAACTTGTTATGATATAATTACCAATCATCAATTTCTTATGTAATTAATCAGGAAGCAAACCAATAAAAAAATTATTCCCCATTGTGTTCATAATATATGTACTGTGATAATTAGATTTTAAATAATAAAAATCTGTTTTACCGAATTATATTTTGATGATGAATTGATTCCATGACGGAAATTTCGCGAGATAACATTTTCTTCGCTTTCGCTGTCAATTTGGTTTTGTCCAGAATTTTTATTGCTACTCGTTCTGTAAAAAAAAAAAAAACACAATGCTATTTACCTATTTGTATGTACTATTTTTTGTAGTACTTTTTTTTATGTTAATTTTATCTATAAAAACGGCGAAATAGATTGTATTAAAATATTAAATAGACTTATCTAAATTGAATCTGATCAATGGCATCAATATTTGCCATAATGTTTTTAACTATAAGGTATAAAAGTAATCTTTAATTTATTTGGATTAAATAAATCTTCTTTGAATGTAGTGGCTTTAATTCTTTTATCAAATCGTATTAAGAAAACTGTTAAGTGTTATAATAATAAATATGATATTTAAGGTTGTTTTTTTGTCAAGGATATAAAAATCATATGATAAATAGACACTAATAACTATTAAAGATTTTATTTGACCTTTGGTTAACTCGTGAAATCCGGTTTTTACTTGTGAAAAATTTCCTTTGCCTAGTTCGCCGCTCAGTTTGTACAATCCTATTCTTTTTCCTATCGCCGAGTCCGAAAGCCATTTTCTATCGTTTTCTAAGTTGTCGATTGCTTTTCGGTAGGCTAAAAAAGTTTCCACACAGTTAACTCGATAATCTATAAATCTCTGTGATAAATAAATGTAATGTATGCAATTTATTCAAACCTGTTACTTTCACTGGAGAAGCCTTTTCGTCAGGAGACTCACACAGGGTCATCGTTTTATCGTCATCGCGTGTTCTCTGTAATGAAATTAGAACATTTTTAAATAAAATATAAATTAATCAAAACCACCTATATTTATGCAAAATCGTTACACGTATTGTAATAATTGGCCAGTGGGAGAAGCTAGATAAAAAGATTCTTGATTTGTATCTTTTATTTAAACAACAGTTGTACCGAGTCACGATAAAATGAAGAATTTTTATTCTCGGATATAAATTTTATACATATATTGTCATTCAGTTATTAATTAAATTATAAGCAAATTGACAATGGATAGACCGTTTCCATTAAAAACCTAATTGATGAATTACAGTTTAAAAAACAATCAAATAAAAATTTATCTAATGTAAGTTTTTATTCTATGTGAATTCAAAATAGCAAATTCAACTAAGTCCCGAGAAAGTGTAAGTGTACAACAAATGATCACTATACTAATAATATCCGCGTCGAAATAGTTTATAATAGTTTTCACTTTTATTAGATGAAAACGCTGTTAAGTAACAGCAAACATAATGAAATTATAAAACAATTTCCTCGCCATAAAGATTCGGAAATAAAACCTATATAATAACATCAAAAGTGCATTTTTGCAGGAAATTGAAAAAGAATATACACGAATTCAAATTATCACAAGATATACATAAAATTAAATCTAATAAAAATAAATAACTTTCCAACAAAAAATAAAATTAAAAATTTTTTTTTTACATTTTTAATAATTGAGATTAAAGATTTTCAAAGCAAAAAATTGTTTTCATTTTTTTATATTATTTTATAACAATCGTTTACCTAATTTACTAGTTAAAATTGTACAATAGCCGATCACTTATTTTACAGACTAAACTAATGTATGCTAATGTATTTAAACGCATATTTTATGAATTAAATTGAATTCAGTCACGTTGAAATAATAAAATCATGTATAATTACTAGGTATACTTTTGTAAAACTCTATTTATTGCTATATTTTACTAAGAAGTAAAAAGTCTATAAAATCGAAAATTTTAGTTAATTAATAATACTATTATATTTTCCATTGTGACTAGTTGCTTCAATATTTCAATAGACTTAAATAAACAAAAGTTTCAAAAAAACTTTACAGTTAATTTTAATTAAAAATGACAATTATGGTTCGATATCAACAATTTGAGTTTGTTAAAATAATAAGTTTTATTCTTCTAAATAATAATTGTCACAGTTAAATGACATTATTTAGTATTACGAACCTTTAAATGCTGTTTTGAAAAACGGTTAGTATAAATCAAATAATTCGATGTCCAAACTCTGTTGAATCCGTAAAATAAAAACTCTTATCAATTAGGAGTTTATCGAGTTTTGTTGTGGTTCTTTTAAATTATGAATGTTATCAAATCAGAAGTTAATATTGTGACATTATAAAATAGAACATACAATTGTATAAATTAAATTCAAAGTCGAAAAAATACATAAGAATTAATCATCGTGTAATGTTTATTAATTACTAACAGATAATATAATTTATATTTCATATAATTTAAATCATAAATAAATATTAAAAAAAATAATTTACCAAAAAATTACTCTATAATATTATATTTTATGATATAGAAATTATTGAAAAAAATTTAACTATCATATTAAACAATTATTTATGTGTATAGAATGAACACACTTAGTTATTGCCCGTTACTATTTTTATTTTATTTTTTAGTTTTTGACACCAATGATCATTATTAATTTGATTTAAATAATGCAATATAAATTATCTTTTACTAAATAATTAAAAAATGTTTTAGATTCTACATCTCGCTATGTAATAAAAATAACAAATTATCTATTTTGAACAAAAAATTAATAGGTTTTAAGATCTGTCAATAACCAAGATTTTTTATTATATTTAGAAAGAAAACTTATTTGATCAAATAAGATATATTTATAGTTTTTAATTATAGTTCTGGAAGAAATATAGTGTTATTTTCCTAAGGTGTCAATAACTGTATGGTATTTTATGTTCTTGTAATTTGTGTTACAAAATGTAGACTGTAAAAATAAAAAAAATTCTTAAAAAATTATTGCGCAAGATTACATTTTATTTATCCAAATCATGAAAATGATAGTACATATGCATTAGAAAAACAAATAAATATTAGAGATCATGATGTTTTTACGTACATTATTTTCCCAGGCATACAACGTCATGACTAATATATTTTTATTCTAATTGTTCGCCAATAAGTGTTTTTTAGTCTTGGTCAAGGCGTTTAATAGATTTTACTTAATCAATATAACTAAATAAAAATTAATGAAAAATCATCATAAATTAAAAGTTGTATCACATACTTTACATTATATTTTCTAAACCTGTACTGTGATATGTTTAAAATAAAAAATTGATCAATTAAACAACAACAGTTTTCAATTTTTTTGTAAATTAAAGTTTGATGAATTTTAAGTTATTATAAATATTGTTTTAATTTGTAGAAACTTTATTGTCAGTATGACATAAATTCCTGAGAAAATTTAACTTTTATCCAATTAGGTTCATAAAATAATATAAAGAGTAATAAATATATTACCTCATAAAAAAAAATTAGATTAGTTAATCTTTTTTCTATTACTTACATTAGGTTTTCTCCAACATCCTTTAGGCATTTTTTATAACTTTAAATTTTTACATATAATAAATAAAAATATATGATCAGTGCTGAATAATTTTCACTGAATAATTTTTTTCATTATGTAAAATTGAAATATTAGGTCAACATGGTAGACACTTCCATTGAACAATGTAATCGTTGTGTATGTATTACATTAAAATAGTACACATTCAATCATTTGTACTATTTTGATGTACTTCGAACATTAGGCTTTTTTATAGAGGGAGGGAGGAAAATAGTTATTAAGCCTTAATTTGATCAAAAGCCAATGTTTAGTACAAGTACTACGGGTCCTGTCTTATCTAAGAGCAGCGTAGGTTACACTCGTGGGGATATCAACGACAAATCAAATCGACCGTTGATTCATTGTTTTAATCAGATTTAAGTTTTAAAAGCACCACGATCGCTTTAGCTATCTTTAGTAAATAAAAAATCTGTTACTTTCTGTTAACACTTTATTTCCTTCGAATATTGTACGCCAATGAAATTAGACATTTAAAAAATTAGCTTTTCGTTTTAAAATAACAAACGTAAAACCAAAAAGTTAAACAACATTTTTTTTGTATTTTAATCGATAGTAATTTATACTATTTAATTTCAATTGTAAATGATATCGACTTATCTCTTGAAACTTATACTTAGTAATGACTATATAAAATAGACACGGACGAGAGGATGATGGTTCTGAAAACAATTCAATATTAATAGCACTTAATCTTCAAAAATAAAATGGTACAAATTAAATTTCACTGTTTATACAGTATACTCTAACCTCACGAAAAGCTCGTTCTAATATGAAAAAAGCGGTTTAAATATTTTTTTCCAATGCATCGCTGGATGCAATCATTGTCAATAAAAAAAAACACAACATTTATCGCCATTTGTATAATAAATATCTAGAATTAAAAAAAAAAATTCAATATTATATAGCTATAGTACTGTTGGATATTCAATGGTCGAATGTGTTGTCTAGAAATTGCATTGTGATTATTTAGGCTATCGTTGTGCTACATCGAGTTGTTGTCGGTCTTCTCTCTATGTCTGCACTGTCGCCGCCATCTTAGCGCATTTTCAGCTACAAGCTCTATGGCGCTTGCCAGCCAGTAGTTTTGTATTCGTTTTGCTGTAAAAGTAAAATATCACTTTTGCGATTGTCACACCTTTGTACGCTCAGTAAATCGCCGTTGGGTCTATATATTTTCTGATATACATCACAGTACCATTTACAGCATATTGTACACGTTGGTTAGCTACTTGCATTCGACTTCAATTGATTCTTTTAATATTCAACATTATCATCAGCCGTTTTAATTAGCCGATAAGTATAATGCTTGTTCATGTTCTTTTAAGACTTACTCACATTTATAATTTATTATTTGTTTATAGCACCTATGTGGCATTAGAATTAAGTGTCCCCCTATCCACATCGGTGTATATAAGATTTTATGATTAATGTATAATACGTTTAATTGTTATAATTATATATTGTAAAATTCATTCATACAGTCCACTCACCTTATTCCTTTTCCTCGACTTTGCCTGACTTAAGACAAAATAAAACAAAAAACGTTAACGAACCGAGTAAATACCATCGGCGCTGCGTTTTACAAAATTATAGCCATAATAGAAGAACATTTTAAACCTTATTTGAATAATGATTCACCGAAGCACATATATGATTGTTTTGCTAAAAAACTGATCAAGTAAATCAATGCGATAAACGTAAGGCACTTAAAAAAATTGGATCAAATATTATTAATAAAAAAAAAAACCTTTAAAAAACTATTGATTTTCTTTTGATTTATTTAATTTATTATTAACATTAATGAGGGTTGAATAAAATATAACATACTAATATGGACTTAATATAATTAAAACAACGAAACCCAGCACAGTGTAGATGAGGCATAGTTGAGACAAGTATAGATGATATCGGACAGTTATTAAATTCACTATAATAAAAAACCCATTGATGCAAATCCGTAAATAGTATTTCATTTTTAAAAATAATTGTTGGGTGTTGGTAAAAGCAAAAAAACTCCTATTTCCTCAATTTTTTGTAATATGGCGATTAAAAAGTGATACTTAACTAAAATTTAACCATAAATAATAGAAAAAAAAATGAAATAGAAAATTATAACAACACAAATATATTTTATATATAAAAGATAAAGTTTCGGGAAATTTTTTTTTAGCTTATGTTTAATACTAGAAGTATTACTAGAACGTTTCCAAAAGTTATGTTGAAAAGATTAACTTTTCATGCTAAAGTTGCTATTTTGAATCCTCTCCTGTGAGCAATTAAAGGGTTAGATTTTCAAAAAAATGTATATAATAGTTAATTACAAAAAAAAATTTGTTGCAATTTATCAGTTTTTAAA